TCCCTCTCTCTCTCTCTCTCTCTCTCTCTCTCTCTCTCTCACACACACACATACACACACACACACACACCCAACACACCCAAGCCCTGGCCCTCTTAGGACTCCTGCTGCAGGGGCCTACTGTGTGCCCACATGGCGCATGGCCATGTTGGGGTCCACATATTAAATGGACATTAATATGGTATGAATGCTAAACAGCTAAACCACACCTGAACTGAAACTCTGGACACTTGGACATTGGCCCTCTTTCTGGTTCTGCTGAATTCCCAGCTGCCCCTCTTCCAGGACTGGCTTAAGGGGCAGGGGCTTTGGAACACGAGAAATGTAACTTTACACAAATAAAGCCTTCTTCCATGTTCCATCCTCCTGTGCAAGTCTCAGAAAATTCATTTTCTGAAGATACTGTAAGAGCTTTATTCCCACTCATGTCTGAGAAGTCTGGCCCTTTAATTTCTCTGGCATCACCTGCAGAGAACCGCTGTGAATAAACTGAGAGTGTTGTGATCAGTAAGTGAAGGTGCAGAAGCAGTGAGTTTTACCTCCTAAAGTTGGCCAAAAGTGAAAGTCATTTCAGGCAAAGGCTGATGGGTTTGGTGAAATTATGGGAAGTTTCAAATTGCTGGGAGTGGCGGTTGGAGAGAAGGCTGAAAAGAGAGAAGCCCAGGGTCCTGGAAGGCCTTGGGTGCTGTACTAGGGAATTTAGACTTGATCCTGTGGGTGGTGGTGTTCTCATAGGCTATGGGAGCAGGAGTGGGACATTAGATTGCAGTTCTAAGGTTGCTGGGGCCCAGGTAAGAAATGATAGGTACCAGGTTGCAAATGATTAGATGAAAAGATGATCAATTTGAGAGATGTTAAGGATGTGGAAATCACAGGATATGGAAGGGCTGAGAGAAGACAAGCTCCGGGCTCACTGTTAAGTTTCAGGCTTGGGAACCAGGTTGCTTTTGGTAAGGGGAGGAAATGATGATGATGTTGGTATGCAAATGTGGAGGAGTTTGAGGTGCCTCTGGTACAGCCAAATGGAGAGGCCTGGGAGGTAGTTGATACATCGTCTGTCGTTGGGAGCTCAGGAGTGAAGTGTGAGCTGTGGATGATAAGTTATGGAGACAGAACTGTGGATGGTAATGAAAGCCCCCACTAGACATTCCTTTATTCGATACCTTTATTAATCCTACCATGAGGAATAGGTATAGGGATATGAAGATGAAAGAGGCCTGCTTGAGCCCTCCTGAAGGCTAGAGGAAAGGCTGAATTTTAGGCACTGACACTGTAGGTACTGTATGCACATAACTCAGCCAGGGATGACTTTCTAGAAGATGCAGGACTCAGGGAAAGGAACTGCTGGGGAATACCAGGCTACAAGTGGGCCTTTGGGGAATGACAGGTTGTTTATTAGAGGAGGGGTGGGGTGTTGGAGGGCTGGCAGGAGAGGCCAGCAGGGAGGATATATGTGGGTGGGTCCTGGCTTCGGAGCAAGGGTGTTCACCAGTGTGTGAAGGGAACAGAGTTGAGGCCACCAAGTGTTGGGAATGGGGGAGGTAGCGGGTGTCAACAGCACCAGCTGCTGCTAAGAGTCAAGGGAGGTGTCTGCCAGGTGTCACTGGGGACCTTGGCAGTTGCTGCTTCATTTTAGAACTGATTTCAGTGGGCTGAGAAGCAAGTAGAAGGTGAGAAAATGTGGTCAGAAAGTGTCAGCATCTCTTTCTAGAACCTTGGTGATCATGGGGAGTAAAGAGGAAGATGACTGGCTGAGGAAGACCTGATGTTTGAGGGGAGAGGGTGTGTGTGTGTGTGGTGTTTTTAAAATGCTAGATGACATACCCTGGGGGGTAGAGAGGAGGAGCAGCCAAAGGAAGAAGTCAAATACACAAGGGAGTGAGATACAGGGGATGGGACTGGGAGCCAAGAATACCTTGCCCTCTCACCCAGCTGGGAGTTTGAAAAGAGGAAGGGCAGTGTGGATGGTGCAGGCGGTTATTGGCCTGCATGTTTCTGTTAAGGGGGAGGGGAGACAAGTGTGGGGTCTGGGATGGGAGAATGATAGTTTGGTATGGTTGATGGGAGGGATGACCAGAGCAAAGACAGGATACCCAGTGGCCCTGAAGACCCCCCTAAGGCTGGAAAGCAGGACTCTGTAGTGATCCTGTTTATTGGGTCATGATTTTCTCCAGTGTCACTCAGGCTCCCGAGTGTGAGAAAAGAAGCAGGGCTTGGTCGTAGAAACCCAGGGTGGGTTTTTGGTAGGTGGGTGTGACACAGAGTTGAAGAGAAGCGGGGCTCAGACTACCAGCCAGAGAATGAATTGATGGAGCCCCAGGTTTAGAGCAGAAGGGCAGTTAGGCCCAGCCAGGCATGGCTCAGCGGTTGAGCATCGACCTAGGATCCAGGTGGTCGGGGTTCGATTCCCAGTCAGGGCACATGCCCAGGTTGCGGGCTCAATCCCCAGTCAGGGGCGTGCAGGAGGCAGCTGACAAATAACCCTCCCATCATTGATGTTTCTATCTCTCTCTCCCTCTCCCTTCCTCTCTCTGAAATCAAAAAAGATATATTTAAAAAAAAAAAAGGAAAAGAAAAAGAAGGGCAGTTAGTGCTTGAGGTCTTAGGGAAGCCAAAAGCTAGGTGTTTCTGAATCTGTGCCCCCAGCTTCATCGTCATTGTGCAAAGCATGGCTCTCCTTTCAGAAACACAGGTCTGAATTTGTATCCTTCTGCCTCACCTCCCCTTAACAAAGAAAATTGCATGCTTGGAGGTAGTAAATTCCTTAGTAAATAAGACAAGAAGGCCCTTTAGTTGGTCTCTTGTTTTCTAGCTGATGTAAATGTTTGCTGTAGAAATATCTGCATCAATTGAGGACACATTCCCATCTTAAAATGCATTGGACACAGCGACTTATCTTGGAGGCTGATGAACTTGCATGCTTTGTGGAAAGCCAGAGGAGGGAGGACTAGATCTGATGGAAGGTATCCTTCATTGATTCAGCAAACAGTGGAGGACTTACTCTATGCTGTATGCTATGAATGCAAAGATAAATGGAACCCAGCCCTCTGGGGAGATAGGAACATGAGTAGTGACAAAGTCACATAGTGATAGGCACTGGAGTCCTGGACAGCTCCTCAAAGGAGGCAGTAGTCTGGCTAGGTCTCACGGGCTGAGTCAGAGAACAGGCACAAAAGCACAGAGGCAAGAAGCAATCTGGCAAGAAATACATGAGGACCAGGACACAGTCCTGGGCCTGAGAACTTTTATGCAGATGTGACTCTGTCCACCCAGGCTCTCTTTTACTGGGATTTCCTGTACTTCTGTCCTCAGCCAAAAGGAAGAGCTCAGGCTCTCAGAAAAAAGTCAAGAAAAATAGTTTTGTGAAGAAAGCATCAGAAAATCAAAATGTGTGTTCCTAAATAAGCAGTGACTGGCTTCTAGTGATGGTCAGTTTTATAGTTGTATGTGAACTGGTGTGTTCAGGAGCCCCTCTGTGGTGGCTGGCACCTCCAAGTCTCAGAATTGGGAAGACCTCAGAGAACAAGAGGGAAACTGAGGACCCAGGAGGAAGCAGGACATGGGTTGTGAGTTTGGACAGCTGGGTGCCACACCCAGCTCTACCACAGACTGGCTGGTAATCCTGAGAAAGTGACCAGGCTGAGCCTGTGTCCTGAGCTATGAGGTAAAGGTGATGAACAGACAGATCCCAAAGCCTGGTCGTTAGGATGCAGTGACAAGGTGCCTGGCAGATAGAAAGTGCTGACAGGTAAAGCAGAGAAATAGCAAAATACATAATAAATAAATAAATAAATAAATAAATAAATAAATAAATAAATAAATAAAGCTTACCTTGAACATTTTATCGTTTTTTAAAAAAAGATTTTAAAATGATTTTTAGAGAGAGAGAAAGGGAGAGGGATAGAGAATGAGAAACATCGATATGAGAGTGAAACATGGATCTGCCGCCTCTTGGCTGCCTCCTGCACACCACCTACCAGGGATTGAGCCTGCAAACCAGGAATGAGCCCTGACGGAATCAAACCAACAACCTTTCCATGTATAGCTGACGTCCAACCAACTGAGCCACACAGGCCAGGGCTTAAACATTTTATCTTAATTTTAAACACTAATAAGTCTGCTGGTTAGACTGCAACTTTTTTTTTTCATACACCTCATTAATAATGTATTACCTGCAATTTTGTTTTTTATTTTTATTTTTTTTAAAATGTCTTTCTTGATTTCAGAGAGAGGAAGGGAGAGGGAGAGAGATAGAAACATCAATGATGAGTCATTGATCAGCTGCCTCCTGCACGCCCCCAACTGGGGATCAAGCCCGCAACCCGGGCATGCGCCCTGATCAGGAATCGAACCCCGATCGCCTGGATCCTAGGTCGATGCTCAACTGCTGAGCCACGCCCGGTGGGACTGCAATTTTGTTTTTAAAGAAGAGTGAAAACTTATAAGCTATCACAAAGTGGTCCGTATGCAGTCCTTCTAGATTTTTATGATCTTTGCTCCAATCTATAGTTGTCTCCCCTATACCACCTGATTTAATGGGGGGTTTTTTGTTTTGTTTTTAAACATATATTGATTTCAGAGAGAGGAAGGGAGAGGGAGAGAGTTGAAATATCAGTGATGAGAGAGTCGTCATTGATTGGCTGTCTCCTGCACTCCCCCTACTGAGGATTGAGCCCGAAACCTGGGCATGTGCCCTAACCGGGAATCAAACCTCAATCTCCTGGATCCTAGGTAAATGCTCAACTGCTGAGCCACGCCTGGCCGGGCAACATAATTAATTCTTGTTGGGTTGCCTTATCTGGTGGTAGCAGAGTCATGCAGGTACACTAGACCCCAGGTGGACTGCAGGCTGCAGATATCCCCCAATAGGTTTAGAAAGGGATACAGCAGGTTGGTGACAGGAAGATCCATCTAAGAATGCATCTATACTATTTATAAATAGAATTATTGATGCTTATCTGAAAGTAAGTTGATGTTATGAAATTATTATGTGCTTCGGGGTAAGGCAGATTTTCTTATTCTGGAAATTTGGGAAGACTTAGTGTGTGACTTTGGGTCTGTTTTCTTAGTTATAAAATGGGGATGCCATGCCTGCCTCAGGGCAGGTGTGTGCTTGAAATAACCAAGCATCACCCACAGAAGATATATAACACTGGTTCTCCTCCCACCATGGAGCTAATTCAGATCAGCCACTCTGGGGAGTTTGGTGCTGACCTCAGTTTCCTATATTTTCAGAAGTCAGGTTTCTAGCCCCTCTATGGCCACTTCCAGTGCTAATCGCCAGCTAGTGATGCTGGAAGGGAAGTCAGGACCCTACTTTTCCTCTCTGGACTCGAGCATCGAGATCCTGAAGAAAAGGGCCCAGGAGCTGATCGAAAACATCAACGAGAGCAGGCAGAAGGACCATGCACTCATGACCAACTTCAGGGACAGCCTCAAGACCAAGGTGAACATTTTCCCCCAACACACAGCAAAGCCCCAGTGCGTGGGGTGGGGAAAGTCCTTATGTAAAAGTGAAGGGCGGGGGAATGAACCACTGCTGAGTATCTGTTATGTTTCCAGCATGGTGCCAGGCAATTTGCATTTGGTACTTCATTTTACTCTTCCAATAGTGCTGCAATGAATGAACCCATTTTATAGATGGGAAAAGTAAGGTTTAGGAATAATTTTTCTGAATGAGAGAGCCAGAATGAGGGACTGAGTTCTGTCTGCACCCAGAGCCCAGTCCCCTTATTATACACCAAGACTAATGGCTATTGGAGTAGGGGGTTGAGACATAGCCTACATTAACACGGCCATTTGTCCTCCAGCATTCAAATGGCTTGTGGTGGGAGAGAAGGGATCCCTCAACATGACCAAGGCTTATGTCTAACAAAACCTGTTGTTATGTTCAGGTCCAGTGTTAACAACTGTCCCTGATGCTTCTTCAGAATGCACATGGGATCCCATGAGTGGGACATCTCTTGATAACAGGCTGACTTTTCCCCACCTTTTTTTGCCCCATTCCCATCCCTACCAGTATACATAGTATAGCAAATTAAATATAACATAGCAGAAAAAATATAAAAACATTCCTATGATCCCACCACCCAGAGGCTACTTTGTTGCATATTTTCTTGTAGTCTCTGTTATGTACTTACTTTCTAACCTGATGGAACCTATACTGTATACATCATTTTGCAATCTTGCTTTAAAATATTTTAATATAGGCAATGTCAGTCCTCACTGGAGTTGTTTTTACCATTTTAAATGATAAACTGTAGAAATCAGTGAACCACTTAAAACACATGTCTTATGATGCTTCTGGTTTGATTTTTCCAAGAATACGTCTTATTCTTTAAAAGGTTTCAGAACTGACAGAGAAGCTAGAGGAGAGGATGTATCAGCTTTATAATCACCACAATAAGATCATTCAGGAAAAGCTCCAAGAGTTCACCCAGAAGATGGCAAAGATCAGCCATTTGGAAACAGAGCTCAAACAAGTGTGCCACACTGTGGAGACTGTGTACAAAGACCTGTGTGTCCAGCCAGAGGTATGACTAAACCCACATGGGGGGCACTGCCTGAGGAGAGTTGTAGGGGCTAAGATGAAAGTAAATATCAACAGAAATGGGTGCTCCTGCCATCTCATTTGTGGCTCCATGCTCTACTATAAACATGGTGTGTTGGATCTGAGAAGCCAGCCCACTGTTATTTCCCACTGCTGTGTGGCAAGCTCTGTGGTGACAGAAAGGACAAAGTCCCGTCCACCCACAGCCCTGAGCAGTGTCTAACCAGGTTTACTTATTACAGCAGAGCCAAAGATGCAGACATGGGCCAGATCACT